CATGTTTGATTTTGAGAAGAAGAAGAAAATTTTGAATCTAAGAAACCCTTTGTCACATTCATGACGTGACAACATTGTGGTCACGACGTGACCCTCCCGAATTAGGGTTTCCCCATTTTTTTCTTTTTGATCTATTTCAAACTTGAAGATTTATCATATGGATAATTACCAGATTTAAAATGTGTTAAAGCTGGAAAATAATAAATACTATTTAATAGAGATTTGAATTTAAATATTTATTTAATATTATTTAAATGGTGACCTAAATATTATTTATAATAGAGGTTTATAAATTTGAATATTAACCCCTCATGATTTACTAATTGTTACATTGTGTCATCATAGTTAATTAGAATTAATAAAAGAAAACTAAATTTAAAGAGTTTTAAATTTACCGCTTATATATATATATATATATATATATATATATATATATATATATATATATATATATATATATATATATATATATTATATATTATGTCTATTATATGTGTAAGAAAGTTACAACATGCACCCTCGCGTGTTTTAAATATTGATATTATTATTCTTACCATGACTAGGCTTACCCATTATGATGTAGGGTTTTAAGGAGTTCTCTTTGAATCCTTATGAGGTCGGTTATTAATATGCTTTGTGCTTACCACCCTCACCGCCCTATTGCATTTTGAGGATGGAGTTACTGAAAGGGTTTCTTATTGATAATGGTCAATCCAAAAGTATTCTAAATACAAGTATAAAACAAAATGGAGTTTTTATGAATAGAATGTGAATATAATATTATTCATTAAAATTACACATTCTCTTTATATTTTGTTGGTGGAGTTCGTGTGGTTAACAGGCACACCAACCTAGTATAGTTGATAATGATGTGGAACTCGTGAATCTCAAGCGTAATATGAGCCATGTACCATAGAATTTTTAAAGTGATTCTTATCTTATCCATAAATGTTGCACATTCTTTTTATAACTTGTTGATGGAGCTCGCGTGATTAACCAGCACGTCATTTTGAGAGTATAAGTAGAGAATGATGTGGAACTCATGAAGCTCATGCGTAACATAAGCCAGGAACCACATCGGCACCTCAGTTTGAGAGTAGAATTAGAGAATGATGTGGAGCTAACAAATCTCAAGTGTAACTTGAGCAATAAACATGCAGTTTTGTATGGATGATTCAACGGATGTTCAGTGTTCCGCAGTGACCTCGTCATTGAATTTGAGGTGAACATAATTCAAGATAACGGGTCATTGTGTAATGATCGGAAAATGTTCCCGTCAACGACGTTAGTTTCCGTTACTTGAGTATTTATTCTTGTAAAACTATTTCGTTTCTAAGATTAATTAATGAAATATTTAAGTAAAAATGATGATAATTAATATTTCAAATAATTAGTTAACGATTAAAAGGTATAAATAATTAATAATCGAGGTTCGACTATTATGTCATTGATTTGGAAGGAATATATAGATTAAATGTTGATGAAAGATAGAGAGGTTAAAGTTTAATGTGGAAAAACTATATATATATATATATATATATATATATATATATATATATATATATATATATATATATATATATATATATATATATATATATATAATTAGCCTTTAAATATAAAGGACACGGTGGTAAACTTGTAAATATGATATAATAGCCTTCAATCACAAATACATAAGTGTATGGAATTAGATAACAGTTGAAATTCATTCATTTTTTTGCTCTTTCAATCCAACCTTCGATTTTGCTTGAATACGAACATATCTTCAACATCTACGCTTAATTATACTCCCAGCATCATTAGAACAACATCATCGATAATCAACAAAAAAATTCAATTCGTATCATTCATTCAACATCGTTCATCAAATAAAACATCGAAATTAAGATTAGAAAAAGATCAAATCATTTTTTGTTTGAAAATTTTCATATATTTCTCTACCAATCTACTATTTTGTAAGATTTAAATAGTCAAAGTATTATATTTATCACATTTTTAAAAAAGTTAACTTGTATGCACTCCAACTGTTTGATGAAATGCATAAACTAAATTACCACGTTATATTCACATATTAATATGTTTTCTCACCCGAATCAATATGTGATTATTAAAACACAAAACAAATATGCAAGTCTGTATGTTATTCATATATGAATAACATATAAAAATTATATATATTTCTGAAAACACCTTGTAATATTCATATTTGAATATACTGTGCAATATTCACATATGAATATACCAACTATTATTCATAACTGAATATACGATCTAATATTCACAAGTGAATATACTATGTACTATTCTCATGTGATATATCATGTAATACTATATAATATTCACATATAAAAATATCATCTAATATTCATAAGTAAATATATCATCTAACATTCACAAGTGAATATACTATGTAATATTCACAAGGGAATGCATCATCTAATATTTAAATATGAATATACTATGTTTACTATATGCTATATTCATATATGAATGATACTTAAATTGTAAAAAAATTAATCATAGTTTATATTCATAAGTGAATAACGAATGTACTGTAGTAAAAACCTGATTAATTTTTATTCACTTATGAATAACGATAGCTGAAAATATAAAAAAAAAAAAAAAAAAAATTTATCTTATCTTAAAACTATATCAATATGGATGTATATTTGTAGAGAATAAAAAATCATAAATTTTGGTATATTTAAAATCATTTTTTGATAAAAATAGCTTCTTAAAAATTTTAAAAAAAAAAACGAAAAAACTATGTTTTTGTATATATTAAGGTAATGCTTAGCATAGTTTAAGAAAACATGTTTTGTTGGAAAACACATGTGCATTTCTTTCTCATTTCCGTCGGTACGTTGGAGGTTTTTGCAGCAAAAATAAATGATTAGCTGAGAATGATTCCCCCATTCTCAATATTTTTTTTCTCAATTGAACCCTCATATATATATATATATATATATATATATATATATATATATATATATATATATATATATATATATATATATATATATATATATATATATATATATATATATATATCACATAGCTATCATTCCTTTAATTCACTTGAACTTGGATTTCAAAGAGAAAGAATAACATCCAATACCATTAAGTTAGAAACGTTTTATAAGATGTAGTGGTGATTGGCTCCAATAGTCTTTTTTAGAATTCAATTCAAGAAACAAAGATAAATATGCTATATTACTGGGGAAAAAATGCGACGTAGCAAATCAAAGAAAATAATCATTTTTACTTGTTACAAAATAAGATGCTAGTTCAAATAAGATGCTACTTCAAATAGAGACTTGTCAACGTCCTAAGACAGGATTTTGTCTCTATTTATATGATGGTAACCGGAATTTTGGCTTGATCAGGATTCTACTATATGATTCTATTTCTTGCATAGTTATTGAATTTTAATTGGCAGGTCTATTTTAAGATTCTTTAGAAAACCCAAGGGAAGATGGAGAGAGAAAGTTATGCATGCAAAAGATTGAAGTTTCACTTCTAACGAGCCCATTGCCAAATTGAAGTTTAACTTAAAATATAATGAGCCCAATACCCGGCTTGTGACCATTAACATTACCTTTCTAACCTTTTGTGATACTCCCATCGATCATTTGATGAATCATGAAGAACAATATAAAAAATTTTAAACAATTTCTTGTTCCACCTATATATGTAGGAACAAAGTTCCACTTGAGAGTAAATCCCGACATTCTTCTAATTCATTTCTTCCGTAGAAATGGAATTTTTGTATTTTTTATATCCTTTTAAAGATTGTAGAACTTGTTATTTGGTACCTATTCGGGGAGTACTCGGATTTAGTAATTCATGTTGAAATATTTTTAGAAAACTTATATATGTCAAAATCATAAGTTAAACTGTTAAGTTGATTGAAATATATAATAAAATTAGATAAATATCAACCCACAGAAACTGAAAAACACATAATGGTCCCACTTCGTGAATAATTTATGAAAATTTAAGATATATATATATATATATATATATATATATATATATATATATATATATATATATATATATATATAGTAATAATCACATGTGTTTGTGTTAAATAATAAATCGTTAAGTATATTATACATACTAGCTTATAACTCGTGGGAACCACAGTTACAAAATTATTAAATTTATAAAAAATTCAAAATAATTCAAATAAATATATAGAGTTAATTTTCCATATATATTAAACAAATTGAATGACATTAATTAGGAAGTTTAATCAATTTAAAATAAAGAATTAATAGAATGACAAGTGGAATCATATTAATTAAGAAGTCTAATATTATGACACTTGGCAAAAGAACTACTTTTTTATTAGAATAAAGATTAATCATCGATTTGACCGAATTTTACAACACTGTTCAGTTCAGTAATTGATTGATCAGAGAGTAATCGGGATTCTGTAACTCGGCTCGGTAAAGGGCCGAGTAGCGAATACTCGGAGGTACAACACTGCTTTTAACTACAACAGGAAGAATGTTTCAGTATTACAAAAAAAAAAAAAAAAAAAAAAAAAAAAAAACTCTCGAAGTAGTCGATTTCCTATAGTTATGTGAATGATTGCATTCACCATGAGTTTCTTTGAACTTATTACAAGTCTTCCTTTCATTGCAATTCTCCATTTTTCATTCTCTATAGCTTCTTTGAGAGTGATCCTATTGGTTGGAGTCGTTTGATCAACATTTTACTCCCTATACCGATCAACCGAACAATTCACATGCTTACAAAAGGACAATTATGTACATTCACACCAAGTATGCATCCCAGTACATTAATCAACCTGATCACCTGAGCTACATATAAAAATCTCACACTCGTAATAGTGCCTTTTCCACGCGTACCCCTTCTCTTTCTTTCTCTGTGTATATATGCAGAGACATATGTATACATATATACATATCCACGTGTATATATATATATCGTTTCTTTCTTCTTCATTGTGGGGAATTCCAGTCAAAATGAACAGCAGGCATCGTTTTTCCGATGATTACTCCGACACAATCGACGACTACTCCGGCGATGAAACAATGGAAGTGGAGTCGACGGCGAGTAAGAGCAGCATTCACGGCGGCGGATTCCGTCGAGGTGTTTTACTGGCGTGGGAACAGGTTTATTTGCTTGCATGCATCATCGGTATGTTCATCGACCCGCTGTTTTTCTACACGCTCTCCATAAGCGACTCCTGGATGTGTGTGTTCATCGACGGGTGGTTTGCTATCACCGTCACGGTGGTCCGGTGCATGACCGACGCCTTGCACGCGGCCAACATGTGGTTACAGTTCAAGTGGAACAGGTGGTGGCGTTATGACGTCGGATTACGACATGACGACAGGAATTCATGCAACGTGTCCCGGAAGTCGTTCCTGTTTGATCTCTTCGTCATCCTCCCAATCCCTCAGGTTTAGAAAACATTTGACAGAAATCATTATACCGATAAAAGTATTATTATTTTAATACATGTCAACTTTCCATTAAGACAAAATCTAAACAAGATAAAGTCGCGTCATAAAAATATTAATTTAATAGTAGAATATAATAATTAATTAATTTAATTAATTCATATTCTAACATATTTATGTTTTATATAGGTTTTGATAAATGTTATTCTTTATATAGGTTTTGATAAATGTTATTCTAATAGTTGTACATGTTTAGTATCTTTGATCAATCCCAATAGAACCATTTAGAGTACACTTAATTTATCTTTGAATCGGTTAGCAGTCAGCGATTTATACAGTCATTGAATTAAAACTCTCGAAAATCCAAACAGTTCAATAACTTTATTTCTTTTTTAACTAAAAAGGTGAAATCATTCACAATAAATGGTTCATTTTATTATACAGTTTTTAAATAATATAGTATTAAATTCTTTGGACAGGTGGTGTTATGGGTAGTGATTCCTGCATTGTTAAAGAAGGGTTTGACGACAGAAATAATGACAGTTTCTTTACTCATGTTCTTGTTTCAATACTTACCAAAGATTTATCACTCTGTATGCCTTTTGCGACGTATGCAAAATCTCTCGGGCTACATTTTTGGTACTGTTTGGTGGGGGATTGTTCTCAATTTGATCGCTTATTTAGTTGCCTCTCATGTAAGATTGTCTTTTTTATCTTAATTTTTGTCTTAACATGCCTACATTACTTTGAAATTATGATAGACCCCTTCAATAATTGAAAATAAATTTACTCCCAAACGCACTGTGACAAAAGTATTCTTTAAATTGTGCTTACATATAACTTAATATATTTCAGTCATTTTCTCAAATATTTTTTTATGGGAAAATGATTTAAAAGTCCAACGAACTTTCCAAACTATTCAAAAAACTCAAATCATGTTTTATCTGTTCAAAAAAACCCAACAAACTTAACTTTTCGTCTAAAAATCCAACAAAGTTCCAAACTGTTCAAAAAATCCCAATTTTTTTTTTTTTTGTTTAAGTTCGTTGGGTTTTTTTTTGAAAACTCAAAAAATGATTGGAGTTTTTTAAACGTTTTGGAAATTTTGTTGGTCTAATAAGTCATTTTCCTAATATGGTAATAAGTCACGTCATCCGTTTCTCTTATTTGACTTTCAGAAAAGTGTAACTTAGTTGGGCTTTTTAAACAAAATGTCAAGTTTGTTGGAGTTTTTTGAACAGACAAAACATGATTGAGGTTAATGGTTTGGAAACTTTGTTGGGCTCGTAAGTCATTTTCCCTATTTTTTATTGGTTTACAGGCGGTAGGAGCGTGTTGGTATTTGCTTGGTATGCAAAGGGTTGTGAAATGCTTGAAAGAAAAATGCATGGAAGCAAACGGGATTTGTGTCTCAAGATTTTTGACATGTCAGAACCCTGTTTATTATGGCACAGATAAGTTTGTGAAAGATCACACAAGGCTCTTATGGGGATCAAATAAAGAGGCGAGAACAACTTGTCTTGAAAGCGAAGATGGCTATGGAGCTTATAAATGGACTCTTCAACTCTTTACCAATGATAGCCGTTTGGAAAAGATACTTTTACCCATTTTTTGGGGACTCATGAACCTTAGGTAACCCGATTTTCATCAAGAAACGTTTTTTATAGTGTTAAATGCTTTAATTATATGTATTTATTATATATATACAGTACGTTTGGGAACTTAGAAAGCACAACAGATTGGTTGGAATGTGTATTCATCATCATCGTTCTCACAATGGGACTTCTTCTAGTAACCATGTTGATTGGAAATATCAAGGTACATGCACACACATATAAATAGCATGGATTGGTCTCGAAAGCATCCTTAATTCCTTATTGAACTTAAAGTTACTTTTTTAAATATGTAGAGAATACAAGGACTTTTTAGTCATTTTTGAAAGATAGATATATTTTTGTGTATATAGGTGTTTTTACATGCAACAACATCAAAGAAACTAGCTATGCAATTGAAAATGAGAAACATAGAGTGGTGGATGAAGAGGAGGCAGCTCCCTCATAGTTTCCGGCAAAGAGTACGTAACTATGAGCGCCAACGATGGACTGCAATGCGTGGTGTGGATGAATGTGAGATGATACACAATCTTCCTGAGGGTCTCAGGAGAGACATTAAGTATCATCTCTGTTTGGACTTGGTGAGACAGGTATATATATTGATAATCTAAAATCTATTGTCTATTATCTGTAACGAATCGAAATATCTTATTTTATCAGTTGAGATATAGATTTATCGACAATGAATAAATGGTTTCTTTCTTTTGTAAAAAGTTTTCTATAATGACATATACTAAATAGAACTTTGTAAATGTTCAACTGTTTGGATTTAAATGACAATAATCTTGACTGGTGCGTGTAATTGGTAATAAGATAGACCTTCGAGGAGGTGAGATGAAACTTATATGTTCTTACTTGTTATCTTAAAATCTTATTGCTATGATGAATGTTGAACTCAGGTACCATTATTTCAACATATGGACAATTTGGTCCTTGAGAATATATGCGATCGTGTCAAGTCCCTCATTTTTACCAAGGGAGAAACGGTAAGTCCTTCTGAACTCAAAAGTTTACAATTACTACCTTCATTTAATCACAAAATTAACTATCATATGATATTTAATATTTAATAAAATAACCAATTTTGCAATCTTTTGTTAATCAAAAATAAGGTTGACCTTTAATTAAAAAAAATAAAAAATAAAGTTGACGTTTAGTTTAAAAAAAAAAAAAAAAAAAAAAAAAAACTAGTATATAGAATCTTTTATCTAATTAAACCCAAAAAATCATTTGTAGCGTTTGGTGAGTAAAAAGTAATTTCTTTATTTTTCAAAAGAAAAAACAACAACAAAATATGAAATTGATAGTTATTACATAAATTTCGTATTTTCTTTAAAAATATTTTATTTATTGTTGGAGTAGATTGCAAGAGAAGGTGATCCTGTACAGAGAATGTTGTTCATAGTAAGAGGTCATCTTCAAAGCAGCCAAGTACTTCGAGATGGTGTCAACAGTAGTTGCATGTTAGGACCCGGAAACTTCAGCGGCGACGAGCTCTTATCATGGTGTCTCCGGCGGCCATTCATCGAGAGACTACCACCTTCATCATCAACGCTCGTGACTCTTGAAACAACCGAAGCTTTTGGGCTAGAAGCCGATGATGTCAAGTATGTAACGCGGCATTTTAGGTATACATTTGTGAATGAAAAGGTGAAGAGGAGTGCTCGGTATTATTCTCCGGGGTGGAGGACTTGGGCGGCGGTGGCGATTCAGTTGGCATGGCGAAGGTACCAACATAGACTCACTTTGATGTCGTTGTCTTTCATTAGGCCGAGAAGACCATTGTCGAGGTGTTCTTCACTTGGGGAAGATCGGTTGAGGCTTTACACTGCTTTGTTGACTTCGCCCAAACCAAATCAAGATGATTTTAACTTTTGAGATTGTAGATTTGGTGTTATAATATCTGTGTAAAGATAATAAAAAGAGAAGTATAAAGTTGTATATGTAATATAATATGTTTGATTATGAAAAGTTTGAGTATCGTGAAACAATATATGAATATAATATGTAGATGAATGTTCATATCAATAATCAAATTTCAAAACATCAATAGAAATTAACGTTGATTGGTCAATAGTTTGATTTGCTGATGCAACAGATCAACCGATATGTTTGATTTTGAAGTAGAAAATTTAACCCAGCAAGAATTTGTGGCGTGGTTCGATTCAAAAATCATGCATTGAGGATGGATGGAGACAAATTATGAACACTTACAGGATTAGTGTTAGTCTTGTTTATCTTGTGGATCGACATACATGGCAATAATACAAAGCACGCTTCTATAATCTAACAGTATTTGGACCAAAGCAACTCATATCCATGATTTTCTTCATTTATTCCTTTTTTTCCTCTTTTCACTCTGAATTTACCAGTTGTAACCACCGTCGACGAACAATAAGAAATTTTTGTAAGAGGTATGTTCCACCGTGCAACGCCTTGATCTTTCAATGCCTCAACCGACCCGATGGTAACGGCCACCACCCATGATTTCCTTACTATGTCATCAATCACTCTCCACGTGTGTGATTCCATCGATAGAATCCAATCTGGTTAGTGTGACTATTTAGGTTTGGGAATTGAGTGAATGGGGTATAAATGGTGGTGGAGGGAGATGTGCATCATATGTTCGACAAAATGACAAAATGATAAACGAAGCTTTCATTTCTTGTGGGTTGCTCCCACTTAGCCTTGGAATTAATGTTGGTTGAGTGATCCATGGATTCTCTATTGTGTTGTATATGTTTATATTCTCAATGAGTTAACTTTCAAATAAGACACTAGTCAAGATGTTTATTTTTTATTATATATGTAAAACAAATAGTAACTAATGTTTGTTTGATGAATGGGTTGACCGATAAATTAATTATCGTTTATTGTTTATATAATTTCACTGTCTATACAACTATACAACTGATGATGCATTACATGGTGTAAGTAACGAATAGTGGTTTGAAATGTGGATGAAAAATAGATGTTTTTCATCATGCTAATGAAGTCCAAAAATTTGATTTATACTAAAATAGTGACAAAATCATTCTACTTTTCAGCAATCATATGTTACATATCAAAACATGTTTCTATTTCTAAAGCTGAAAGGTGTGGGTACGGTTCCGAGTATGGTTTTCCACTTAAGTTGTGGCAAACATCAAGTTGGTTTTGTGGTTACGAGTGTGGTATCTCTCTCATTGGCTAGAAAGAGTCGAGTCCCTCTCCGTCTTCTCCCACCGTCTCCTCTATCTCTCTCTTCTTCCTTTCTTATAACGTCCAAAAATTACATTTTAATAATAATAAAACCAACATCCAAAACGATTTTATAAAACCATAAAAGAAAATCATAGTACGTCAATAATTATCCAAGTACATCAAATCAACAAAATATGGAACAACGTGGTGTGTGCGATGCGATCATCTCGAGCCCTTCCCCATCGATCCATAAGTACCTAAAACATAAAGTGAAAACCGTAAGCACAATGCTTAGTGAGTTCCCCAAAATACCTCATAGCATACATATCAAACATATAATAGGCTATGTTTAATAACCATCAGGCCTCGCCAGGCATTGAGCCACGCTTGGAACAAATCTGTCAATAACATGAGATGGGTCCTGCCTCATCACATTCATCAGGCCCCGCCTGGCATCAGGCCTAGCACGACATTCATACTGTAACACCCCAAAAAAATGAGCCAAAAATTTCATTTTTAAATACACATACTTAGCAAAACATTAAAATAAAACATTCACCAATCATAACATTTCATAAAAGATGTACGTGTCTGGAAACCAGTTATAAAAACATAATAAAGTCAAAGTACAAATCCCCAGGAAGATCTCATAGTGCGGAATACAAAGCGTGTGTGTGATGTGCTGCTACTGCGCGAGCTCCTTCCCCTTCGAAGAAGAGGTATCTGAAACCAAAGCTGAACACTATAAGCACGAAGCTTAGTGAGTTCCCCCATCATACCGCACACCATACAATCACATATCACACATATTGCCAGGCATTTCTGGGGTGCCCGACCTACCTGGTACGGCCATTCTGGGGTGCCGACTTACCCGTGTCAAGCCATTCTGGGGTGCTGACTACCCATGTCAGGCTATTCTGGGGTGCTGCTACCTTTCAGTCCTGATGACCGAACCTCGGGGACTATTTCACCCCTACTGCTACTATCACATATATCATAACATAACATATTATCAGACATATCTGGGGTGCCTGAACTACCCTTCGGTCCTAGCAACTGCACTCGGGGATTGGTCCCCTCCTACTACCACTATCGCATATAACATAACAAGCTAGTATGCAAACATATAATCACATACTGTCAGACATATCTGGGGTGTCTGACTACCCTTCGGTCCTAACAACCGAACTCTACTACTATCACATATAACATACCATGCTAGCATATAACATATCAGGTAGTAGCAAACTTAGATGATATCACGAAAACAATCATCTATCATACATCCCCTACTGGTGGGCCGGCATTGTGGCCTTAGACCCACTGCTACTGGAAGGTAACTCACCTCGAAAGTAGCAGTTTAACTTATCAGAAACTGACTGTCTACTGCTGCTGTTGCTCCGGACGTCCTCCGACTATAAATCCCACAAAATGATCGGTCAAACACTACTAGATGTTCTTAGGGTAAATGACCCTTTTACCCTCGACCAAGTCGAAATCCAAGTCAAAGTGAACTTCCAGTTGACTGGACTCGCCGAGTCCACGAGCAACTCGCCGAGTCCTTCACTTACTAATCCGGTCCCACTCGCCAAGTCCCTCTCCCCACTCACTGAGTCACCCTTGACTCACCACTCGGGACTATGGGGCCGACTTGAGTACCAACTCGTCGAGTTTGAAGAACAACTTGGCGAGCTCCAGGCAATCTTCATAGGACTCGCCGAGTTGTTCATCCAACTCGCCGAGTCTAAGACCATCTTCATAGAACTCGCCGAGTACCACTTTGGGACTCGCCGAGTTCCTCGACCCATTTCCCAAATAGGCCAGATCTGAGACATGCAATGCTTCAAAACCACATATCTATGGTCCTAGGCCATGTTTACCACGTAAAGTTGCAAACTTTACGTGCATGCATGGCCCAATGAGCTCAAACATGTAATTCCAAGCTCTTTAAGAGGTCCTACACTCAATAGGGACCTCAATCACCTCAACCACAGAGACTTTATGCTATTAGGATGTCTTAAAGGTCCAAATCTGAAGTCCTTGCAGAACATTAACCATAAACATATAGAGATTTAGGTTCTTAGGGCTTAAAACCTATTTTTAGGGACAAGAAAGGGGGTTCCATGAACTAAAGGTCAAGGTAGGAACTTTTCTACCTGAATAGAAGCCCTTCACAGAGTATATTCCGGATCTTCCTCCCTTCTTGCACTCTTCAACCTTCTCCTTCTTCTCCCAAGCTCCAAACCACCTTCAAAATGCTAAAAATCACCCACAAGGACACAAAGGGGGCTAGGGTTTCGTTCTACAGATCTCTGGGAGTGCTAGGGGTTGTGGAGGCTGGGTTAGATCGTTTAAATATGGTGCAAACACCCGGGTTAGGGTTTTAGTCCCTACAGGGTCTACTCGCCGAGTCCCACGACCCTACTCGCCGAGTAGCCAGAGTTGAACCCGAGTCTAGACCTGCTTCTACTCGGCGAGTTAGTCCTTCAACTCGCCGAGTCCAAGGTTAAAATGCAATACATAAGGAGAGTTAATAATCAAGAATACATACCAGGAACCAGGTGCTACAAATCTCCCCCACTTATTTTAGACTTCGTCCTCGAAGTCTGCTACTCAATCCTGAAACAGCTCGGGGTAATGCTCCATCATTTCTTCCACCGGCTCCCAAGTCCACTCGGACCCCTTTCGGTGCTGCCACTGCACCTTCACTAACCCCACCCTCTTGTTCCTCAGATCCTTCGACTTCCGGTCGAGGATTGCGACTGGGAGCTCAATATAATTCAGGCTGTCATAAACCTGTATATCCTCTAATGGTACCACCGTTGAATCATCCACGAGACACTTCCGCAGTTGGGAGACATGGAAGGTGCTGTGGATCTGGCTGAGCTCGGCTGGCAGATCCAGCCTATATGCCACCTTGCCCACCGGGGCTACAACCCTGAACGGACCAATGAATCTCGGGCCTAACTTGCCCCGCTTCCTGAATCGAATGACGCCTTTCCAAGGCGACACCTTCAGGAGAACCATATCCCCGACCTGGAACTCCAGGTCTGATCGACGCTTGTCGGCGTAACTTTTCTGCCGACTCTGAGCAGTCTGAAGCCTGCTCCGGACCTGCTGAATCTTCTCCGTCGTCTGGAGCACCACTTCAGTGCTTCCCATGACCCTCTAGCCAACCTCTCCCCATCATATCGGGGTCCTGCACCTTCGTCCGTACAACATCTCGAATGGAGGGCGGTCGATACCCGTGTGGTAGCTGTTGTTGTACGAGAACTCAGCCAAGGGAAGATAGGTATCCCGACTACCACCGAAATCCAGCACACATGCTCGCAACATATCCTCACGTGTATGGATGGTCCGCTCACTCTGACCATCCGTCTGCGGGTGAAAGGCAGTGCTAAAATGCAGACGAGTGCCCAGCTCATCATGAAACTTCTTCCAAAACCTGGAAGTAAAACGCACATCTATGTTTGAAATCACTGATACTGGCACCCCGTGTCACACCACTATCTCCCTGATATAGATATCTGCCAACTTCTCAGCCCAGATGCTCTCCTGAATCGGAATGAAATGGGCGCTCTTAGTCAATTGATCCACGATGACCCATATAAAATCCACTCCTCGCGCAGTCCTGGGAAGCTTTGTGATAAAATCCATCATAATATCTTCCCATTTCCACAACGGAATATCCAACGGCTGCATCATGCCGTGCAGTCTCTGATGCTCGGCCTTAACCTTCCTACAGGTCAAACACCGCTCGACATACCACGCCACATCCCGCTTCATGCAGGGCCACCAATAGTCCAGGCGAAGATCCCGATACATCTTCGTCGCCTTTGGATGAATAGAGAATCGGGATTTGTGTGCCTCCTCCATCA